TGGATTTAATCTGTACCCAAAACCGTGTAATTTTCGTATCTATTTTGTTATTTAATTGAAAGTTTTTCACATCAGTGGGGCCACAGTGGCCAGTGAGACGTACATTTAAAATTTAAAATAAACTAAACCCGCATGCAACTTAAATTAGTTTTTATTGTTTTGCTTGTCTCTGTCGCAAATTGCATGAAATACGTGGAATTAATTAAAGGTATACCAATACGCTATCCACGATATTAGTAAATTTTTTGATAAAATATATGAATTATTATTTTTATTATTTTTTTTTTTTTGATCATATAGATACAACAATGCGACAGGCGATGATAGATTGATTGATTCGATTTTGTCGGTACATAAAACCGTGTGGCTGTCGTGCTGATGCTGTCATTTAATTGAAAACTGTTTACATTGGGCCTCGGTAGCAAGTGAAACGTGTATTATAACATTTAAAATAAACTAAACCCGTATGTAACTAAATTTAATTCCTATTGTTTTATAGTTAAGGTCCATATGACATAGGTATATTAAGTTTAAAAAATGTTTATGCAAGTCGAATAATGATGGTGTTTTTTGTATACTAGTTGAAAAACGTATAAGAAGTTTGTACAACGTGTAATAAATTCATTAAGAGCACAAATCAAGTGTTAAAAAAAAAATTCACAAAGGATTGGTATGATAGTAGCTCCAAATTTATCACAGTTTATTTTTCACTTACACCGTATAGATCTTAATTCTAGCGTACTACCATTTATAAACACATACAAATAGTACTACAGCTGTGTCGAATATAATATGTATATGTATATTTATATATATATAATGTATATATGGACTTTTATCGGTCTGGTCATGCATAGTGTTGCGTGTTCGCAATGCCTACACCAGTGCGGTGGCCCAACGGGTTTTCCGAACTCCGGAAAAAACGATTATTCTACGCACTGTGATTGTGTATAATACGCTTGGAAAACGGCGAAGGCAAAGAACTCGTTAAACTCGTATCGATAGCTACAGCTGTCTTTACTAGGGTGGCGGTGAGATTAATACATCGTACTTTTCTGTCATGTATTTAGCACGCCGAAAGTTAAAAGAGAATATATATATATATATATATATATTAACATACAATACCGTTATTCGCCGTCGTCGTCGTTTCGTTTTTAAGTATTTCGTCCCCCCTCCCAAACAAAAAACGTATTAGTGACAATCAATTTATTCGTACAATCCGTCGTGACTTGGGACTTGTGCGATGTATAGTAATTTATTCAGTATCAATTTCCAMATTTCAATTATTGAAATTTCATATCCCTATAGAGCGCAGAAACATTCTATAGTATTTCTCCAATAATAATATTTAAAAAAAATGGTTATTATAATTGTTAAAAAAATCAGTATTATTTCAGAACTTGAGTCAATTATGAGAAAGGTTTATCTAAGATATACTCCCCCAAACTTCTTCAAAATTATTAATAACATTTATTTCTAACTCATACTATTAGCGTGCTTAATACTACTTATATACAAATTATATAGTTAAAATTGTATTTCCATACATATTATATGTAATATCACCATAATAAATTCGTATATTACTATCTGATTTCTTAATTTATTTAGAATTTCTATAAAATTGTATTTCTTAAATCTTTCATTTTACTTATTATGTTTGTATTATTATAGTCTCCTTCTAAGTATGCATARTTAATTAATTAAGTAGCAGTTAAGTATTTATACATTATACTAATTATTAACTTACCTATTTTAAGAACTCAATACCTTCAACACAAGATTTAGCTTAAAGAAAGTATGCTGCAGACAATTGATGTATAATATTATCTGTTAACTATTTATTTACAAAATATATATATTTAATACACCAAAATGTTGTCATCTAGGCAGAATCTTAGCAATTAATTTTGTGGCGAAACAGCATGATTCTCSAAGTGCGGGATTAGCTCTTATACTTGTTCAAACGTTTATTTTATCTGTACTTARTACTTACACGCTGATTTCAGTATATAACTTTCAAACTATTGAAAACATTTTGATAAACTTCTAATATTATTACGTGATATCGTTGTCCACTATAGTATTAGATTTATAGTATAAAGAATAGATTTAAAAAAACCCCTCCTCTTTCCTTCCGATCRCTAATAATTGCGTTTTAACCTTATACAGTCGCTGTAACCTCTGATAAGTATTAACTGCAGTAAAATCTGCAATAATAATTGTATCAATAAAATTTGATTATTTCATACCCACTTGACTTTACTTACCCATATATTGTTGATTTATTTTAAAAAATATTAAAATTGATTTAATTACAATAATAATCATGTATGACGATGAACWAACGCTTTAGAAACTATTACATTTCACTTGGCAACGTGCACTATAGAATCTTGTTTTCTTTGAGTGAATTAACTTGTTTTTGACTATTCTTCTTGCAATAATACAAAACATTTTGTGCGATGATATGACATTATCTTTTTGATGTTCTCAACTAATACAATTTGGATCAAACCTTTRCGTTTAATATTTTATTCTGMTTTAATCTGCTATTGACATTGTTGAATTCATGATTATTACGTCGTTTAGAATTACTCATTATTCATCCTCCATCAAAGTGTATGATTTATTAATTCAAAGCAAAAAAATAAAACAGCTGATATTCTTTTTGATAAACCTAATTGTTATAAAAATATTACTATAATATAAATATTATATGTACCGTATTTTATTA